AATACTGATCCGACTGCTCTGCTGCGGAGTCCGGTGCATCCTCAACCAGGTTGGTGGGGTATACTTTCTTTTTCTCGGAGCCACTGCTTGTCAGAACGTTTGTTGACAAGCTCCTCATAGCTCCTTCAATGGCCTTCTTCTCAATCTTGCCACCTGTCATTGTCAAAATCTTCTTCTTGTCCTCGGTGGTCAAATTGCTCTGCTTCAACAATACGAAGGCCATCACCGACTTCAGTGTCGTCTCATGTCCAACTTCTCCGAACGCCACGTCCAGTCGATTGACAAAAGACTGTGCACTCTCGTCGGCCTTCTGGATGGTCTTGTAAATTGCCTTTTCGAACAGCTCAAATGTCTTCAACTCTGCGCTGTCCTCCCATGCCGACAAAGCTTCAAGGAGGGTTTTCACTCCATGATCCGGATTCGTCAGCCTGTCGGGGTCGATGGATCGAACTTGATGCCAGGCAGTACCTTTGCACAACATGGCCAACCTTGGAGCAAGCATTCCTCGATCCTTCTTTGGGCAAATCCCATCCAAAAACTTGACTTTCGCTATATACTCTTTCACGTCATCTTGGCCTGGATCAAAACTCGGTAGGAGAGTCCAGATCGCATTGGCCTTCTCCGCCTCGGAACCCATGGCTTTCCAATGGCCTCACTGAGCCTCCGCTACCAATGTGGCTATCAGCCACAAAGGTAGCTTCCTCGCCCGTCAACCAAATCTATCTAACCTAAGGGGCCCTATCCCTATCCAAACCAAAGGTGGTCCGCCACCCTGCCGTCGCACCGCTTTTCTCGGTGCTTGTCCTGTCCCTGTCGGCCTTGAGCCAACGCGTTTTGCGTTGGATGTCATCGTCGATCGAACAACCATTCGAAGGTTTGGTGCTCAACTGGATTGATTCACAGATAGTTATGTATAATGTATACACACAACTCAACTAGTAAACAACTTCCACCATTTGTACAAACACACCCAAACCAGAGCGAACCAAACACCAAAAAGCATCAACAAATCAGACAATCGAACAACCTTTCTTGCTCGAGTAAGAACTGTAAAACAGGAAGCCCACATGGAGGTCATTCTCCTCTCCAAGCAAAACTTTTCAAACCTTTTGGCACTACACTTGTGATAATTGGAGGGTTCGCGCCATGAGTATTTTGTACTAGCAATTTAACGCCCGTGGTGAGTTGGTGTTTGCGACCTGAATGGTGTTTGATTGATGTGGTGATAGAATTTAGAATGCCTTGAACATCAAGCAACGCATGGGAGCATGCCCATCAAAGCAGCACAAGCCTAATGCGATCGCACACTTTTTCATTTCTACAAATACATCACAAACTGAACTGCTCATCATGTGGTAGAATATTCTTTTGACTTGCAAGCTCGTGAACCTGTGCAACACCTATGACCTATGAGGCCTGAACTGGTGTTCACAACGCCAAAAGCAAAGGCAATGCAACAAAAATAGCAACAGTGAACAGGGGCAACAGTCGCAGCTTCAGCTTGCTGCTTCGGACAACGTGTGTCATCAACAATCACATCATTATCATCATTATCGTTATTTATCTTTCATGCTGCCCAGACTCAAACTACCACAAACCGTGCTCTCGATTCACAATCGCGCGAAACACCAGCATTCACATCACCAACACTGAGACCACAAAACACTCAAAACACCCCTTAAACAACAATACATGAGCTCCTCTATAATGAACACCCTGACGGATCAGCAACACTCAGAAACCTAATGTTCAGACTTCCAATATTCGCATTACCAACAGGCATGTCACCAACACTCATTGCAGACTCTTCTGCTGTTTACAAACAGTGAGGGCTTGCTTCAGGAGATTCAATGAATCTCTCCCCTCTCAACTTCAGTTTGGAAGCTAAGAAGGTAACATTTGTATAGTTTTGACGCACAACTGTGCATCTTTCTACTTGGCAACTTCAACCAAAGTCCCCGAAACAAAGTCAGTCTCTGCGTCCTGGACACAGTGATGGGATGAAAGGTGGTGGCAGTTCTTGTTGCACCCTTTTCAATCAGCTGAAATTGCCGCCTTGAGCGTCACTGCTCACGGACCTGCTTGATACCTATGTAGGATATAGGCCATGCATCCAAATCAAATTCATTAGGAAGGCAAATTTAAACCTTTGCAAGTCGACGGCGGCAGAGCCGCAAAACCGACCTGAACGAGATCTGGAGCTGCAGGGAAGGTGCAAAGGGACCCAGGCTCCGGCTGAGCATGTCGCATGCGTTCATGTCGCATGCGTTCATATAGCATGCGCTTGAACATTCTCCTTCGGAGACCTTCCGAACATGCAGGCGCGGCGTCGAATTTGGTAGAGTACATTGAGTCATTGAGTACATACATACATACATACATACATACATACATACATACATACAGAGTGAGATCACGCCTCTTTTCTTGTTCGCTCTGCAGTGTATTTGTCAAAATTAAAGGCAATTGGGAACGAACAATTCTCCCATAAAATTTACCGAGTTAGTTATCCCCCCC